TTGCCTTGTTCTGTCCAAAACAGGGCATTGTAGCCCCGCACTGTATCACAGTGCAGAGCAGAAGCGTGCAGAAATAAGCAGGGTGGTTGCTCATCTGCATACCCCACGGGCTGCACATTTCATCCTGTGCCGTGCTACCCTAGGAGCACAGTAAACAAGCAGACAGAAAAAGAGTTCAGGTTTTGTTGTTTGTTAGTTTAAAATTGTTCCATCTTTCTTAGCATAGTTGAGCCAAACACTTCTATAGGACTCCAGAGCATGGTGGAGAAAGCAGTGGTCTAAAATCTTACATATCTGTATGCCATACGTAAGGCTAAAGTTTTATATATGTGTATTCTGTTTTATGTGTCTCCTATGCACATAAATTAGAATATGTCTGCAGCTATGACATGCAGGCACCTTGTTTGAAGTATGTGCAGGATACTGAGAATATCATTAAATCTCAGCCTCAGTTCAAACATACTCTTCAAACGAATATGCAGTTTCAGATGGAATTATATAGTGTGTGAAACTGTAGCGCCACTTGCTAGAACTTCCAAGGACCTTCCCTGTGTCGTACTTAGTGATGTTTCCTTTTCAAGTTGGTTTAATATTATAGTCCTTATTCAGAAATGAGCTTTCGTAAAAAAATCAATAATTACCTTTGTCACTATTTATTTAATGAATCCATGGAAAGACTTCATTAAATTATAAATGGCTCATTACTGATATTCTTATAATAGATTTGTGAAATTATGGTAGAAGCCAGTTATTCATTTCAAGGAAGATGCAGCACAGAGAGATCATTGCATGTCCAGCGAAATGACTGCTGGTTTTGCTAATGCAGTATTCATGAGGATTCACCAAGACAATCACATTTAATCCTAGAGAATAAGAATTTGAAATGAACTTTTAAATTACAATTATCCATCAGCACAAAAGTTTAGCAGGTTTTATTGTTTGTGCAATTGAAATGACTTGCTATTCTGTCAACATGCAAGGGATGTGTTTGAGAATATTTAAAGTTTCTGAATGGAATCATAAGTTCTGACCCTTTAAATTTCAATAGTAATACCTTATACATTTGTACATTTCCATTTTTTTTCCTTAGAAAAATGTGACCCTTTGGATATCATTTATACTTATATTGCTTTTCCAGTCCTTGATGCAATTTCATGTGTGACAGGCAATGCCTTCATTGGGGTGGAGCCTATTATTTGGATCTACTTTGGTATTGAGTTTTGTTTTAGTGAATTCTATAAATTTTGACTATGAGATATCAAAAATGAAGGCTGAGGCAACAGATCAACATCCAAAAACAGATGGTCATCACTTAAAGTCCAAAACTTTTCAAGCTTCACTGATCCTCATTTTTATTGTTTATTATTTTACAAGAAAGAAACCAAGTCCTATGAAATTTGGGCATTTCTGGACACTAGGAAATAAGTATTTTGTATTTATATAGCAAAAAGATTTAAGAATAAGGTAAAGGAATTTATTTTGAGTTTGGGACTTTTTTTTAACTTTCACACAGAATTTGGACGTTTTATCAATAAGAGCTCTGAGGACAACAGACAAGTATACCCTTCTGTAGGAAACTTGAAGTTTTTCAGTCTCTCTCCCAGTGTGCAGTCCTTAAAGCAAAGGACAGCATAGGAGTAACACATATTTTCGTGTCCTTGCTTTGTTGTAAGACCGGCTTTCTAGGATGCAGCAAACTTTACACTTGTAGGGACATTTTTTTCTGATCCTAGGGAAGTCCAGAGAAGATCTCAACACCACTGTGGTCACTCTTGAGTTGTAAAAGAGGTTATCTGTTTGTGTTTAGGTATAAAAAAGTAACTTTTTTCACTTCTCTATGGTAATACATTCTTACAACGTCAGTTAAAACTTTTGCATTACTCCTGCTTGGACAATACCGGAGATTCCACCTGCACTAAAGAGGGAACCGTGATTCTGTTTCTATGACTCTCACTTCTGTCTCATCCCTGAACCCTTCAGGAATGAGACAGGAGATGTAAGAAGAGATAGGGAACAGAAATGACCATGCTTGGCTAATACTAGATGGGCTTAATCTGCGCTTGAAGCTTCTGAGAAAGTAGTTTTTGGCGGTATTGATGCACCCTCTAGCACATTCAGCCACATCATTAGAATTCCCAGACCTGAAATTCTTTAGAGGTGGGTTAACCCACCTCCTGCAGGTGGTGCTTTAGTATTCCTGCCTCAGTCCCTAGTGAACAGGGGTTTTCTATTGTTTTATTGACCACCCACTCTTCTTCACTGACTGTACTGAGCAGGAAACAGGATTCCACACAGTTCTGTGCTGGCTGTCTGATGTCTGGTCCAAGGTAACACTCACATGTTCTTGGTCCAACAAATGGTAGTGAGTGGGTGGCCTCTGTGCTCTATGCCTATTTTGCCCTCAGGGTATCAGGCACCCACAGCATCTCCCCTGGAAGGTTTCTCAGGCATAGTCAAATCCCTGGTTGCAGATTACAACCACTGCTACCAAATTCCGGAAGATCCTATCAAATATTCTGAGCTTTTTGCTAAAGTCCTTTTCCCAGGCCATTGGGATAAAGAAATATAACCTTCTGCCTTGGAGTTCTGTGCAAATTCCACCACATCACAACTGTCTGAAAATCACGTTACCTCTTTTTTCTTTCCTTCCTTTTTGATGGACTGGATTCAGCACCCTAAACACGGTGGTCTGGTTTATGAAATTTCATACTTCATTTTATAAAATAGAAACAGGAATGTCTGACTAGTTATCTCATTCATCATTCCTAGATCTCAGCTAAAATAAAAGAAAAAAAAGAGTCCATAAGAATTAACATCTTAACACATTCATATGTTAATTTTCTTACTATCCACTGCAAAATTATTTTAAGCATACAATGATAAATACATATTTATTTATTTCAAAATGATACAGGGCCCTGTAGAACTTCTATTTTTCCAGGACAGAGAAAACAGATAACCAAGAACAGCTGGGCTTATCAAATATGGTAACTGGACCTGTTGGATGACCCAACAGTCATAACTTCAGCCTAGTGCAATGATAGAGCATAGACTCTGGATTTGAATTACAGCTTTTCTTTTTCTAGTTGTGCACCCATAGCCACGTTACTTGATCCCTCTGCCTCTGTGACATCATATGTAATATGGAGCTAAATGGTAACCTCATCAGGCAGCTGGTCTGAGGAATACCATAGTATTTACTAAGTGATGAGAGCACTGTATACCTATTTGGTTGCTAGGAAACTCAAATGAACAAGACAATTTTAAGAGTTGCATAGACTTGGTCTATTGTTTCTCTTGACATTTATTTCCCCTCACTGTCTTTCTCATCTTTACTAACACATGGCACTGTAAGAAATTTCAGGGTTATTTAATAGAACGATTTGAGTGTTAAAGAAGAAATTTCTAATAAAAATGGAAGTTTGTCTAAGAAGTCATGGAGACTTTTATTTTTCGTCATTTTTACCTCAGAACTGTGAACATACATTACTTTCTCAGTTTAGCAGAATTCCTATTTGCTTGCTTTCAATAAATTATTAAATATATATGTATTTATGCATACATATATACAGTAAATCTTAAGACTCTCAATTAAGATATGATATTACCTTACTTTAACAAATACATAGATAATGTAAAAACATAAATATAATATTTTATAGTGACATGAGCCATCAAATTTAAAACAAGTTGAAACCAAAAAACCCCTAAATTCATTTGTGGACAGTGAGAATCACAGGGAAAAAAGAGGAAACACTTAGGATGTGCATCTCATGAGGATAATTAGTAATATCAAAAACAACACTTTGAACACTTTCTTTTAGTTAGTGCAGCTTTATAGGAGACCATGTTTATGAGACTTTTCGTTGTAAACTGATGCCACCGTCTTGCTGCTGAGTTCAATGATGAGAACTCAGTAAAGGACCATTCTTCCAGCTTCTAATGCTGATTTAATCTTCCTACAGGAATGGGTGGGCTACCTGTCATTTACACCCCACATCCCCCCGCGCCATCTCTCCTAACCAAGGTTGATGAAAGATGAGCCGCAGACAGTTTGAGGTTATGTATTCTGACAAGAGCCTGAGGCACAGGTATTCTGTGCTACTGATTAGGGCAAATCCACCTGCTTTTAAAAATCGGCTTAGTCCTGTTAGAGATGATGGTCTGCTGTTAGAAATGCTTCTTGGAGGCAGAGAATGTAAGCGTATGCTTTTCTTTGTCACTTCATGTTATGACATTCTAATGTACAGCTATCTCTTTACACTTAGAATGATTTATAATGCTTTTGTTTTTAATTGAGAGGAATTAGTTTTTGGAGAATTACATCTTAGCTTATTCTTAGCTTAGATAAAATTAAAAAACTGAGAGAACTCAATTTTAGTTCTAACACATCTCAATTAATGCAACCTTAACCAAATCATCATGGCTTCCTATGTCATGGTTTCATCATCTGTAAAACAGAGAAATTAAGTGATTTAGGCTGGTAAAACTGGATGGTTTTGTGAATAATGACTAAGATACTACATCCATTTAATGCTTATCTCTTTGCCCCGTTGCTGTTACAATGATTTTCATTTATCAGCTCCCTCTAAGGAGACTTCTTGCTTTGATTTCAGCATTTATTAAAAGGGGGGATTTCAAGTGTCATTTTGCTTGTGAAGTGGGGAGAGTGGATTAAAGAGCTACGCTGAAGGACATGAAAGGGTGTCCTTTCATGCAAACAGCTGCGTACCTTCTTTCTAGCCACTTCTGGGAAAAAGGCAGCTCAAAATCCTTGAAAGTGTGCCTTTTGAGATATCTATCATCCTTAAAAGTCTTATATTTACTCAAATGTCATGAATCTGGCTTTTAGTCCATGTGGCTTTTCACTAGTGAAATTAGAGGGAAGCAGCAGTTTTCAGTGTGTGATCTTGAACAATACCTCATGGGCAACTCTCACTAAATGCTGACTGAAGAGCTCAACTTAGTCTAACTGCTTTATTTCTCCCCCTCTCTTCTAGCACCAAGGAAAAATTGGAGTTAAATTTAATGTTGGGACAGATGACATCGCCATCGAAGAGTCCAATGCAATCATTAATGATGGGAAATACCATGTAGTGCGTTTCACGAGGAGTGGTGGCAATGCCACCTTACAGGTGGACAGCTGGCCTGTGATCGAGCGCTACCCGGCAGGTACGTGGGGGAACTTGTATCTGGGAAAGATTTTGGAAAACTGGAAAACAAAGCACTGTTTTGCGTCCGCCTCACCAAATTGCGGTTTTTTTGAGAAACCGTCAAGTAGTTATTGGACTTTAGAGTCATGTGAATGGAATGCTGTCCTAAACCGTTCTTGCTGCCATGTACAAATGGCATTTTAGAGGTGAGCTTGAAGGCACACAATATTGTTTACAAAATTAAGGACATCAGAGAAAACAGGGAAATGCACACATAAAAGGCACAACACGTCAAAACTTTTTAAAATTGAATCCTTGCATTTGTACAAAGGAAAGGCTTTGTCAAAAGTATCAAAGTTAAAACTAAGGAGGGACTATTGTAACACTCTTTCTTCTAAAAGAAAGTGATTGGAATAATCTTTTCATGGCAGCACAGAGCTTAAATTTAGGAAAGGGGTGGAGCCAACAGGAGTTAAGCGTGCAAGTTACCAAGAAACTGTAGAACCAACTCACGGAAACAATAGTGTCAAAACCAGCAGTCACAAAAAATACATAAGCTTAGAATTTTTGTTTCACCTTCATATAACGTGGAGTTTCACAAGGCTTCTGTGATGCCAGTATTATTCATTTCAAGTCTGTAAAATGAATGCCATGCCAAGTTGGTAAAGTAAAATTATCTTATTCATTGTTAATGAACTTTTCAGTACTGTTTTACAGAAATAGGAGTGGTAGATTAGGAACTTAAACCGGTGGTACTTGCACTTGCATATATTTTCAATTTAAAAATAAATATATTATTTTAAGTGGGGAACAAATTTAAAATATCAAGACAGTTGAAAGAAGCTATCCTCTCTGCTTTAGTGCAAAATCAGTTCTTAAAAGCATCTTAAAAGCACCTTAGCATCATTTTTCAAGTCTTTACCTTCAAGAATTCTATTCTAGAGTTATTAATGGATACAAAGACATGTTTACATCAATGTGGGAATTTCTGGGTTAAACTAAGTTAAAAACATAAATAGTTTGATTTTATTTTGATAATATAGTTAATGCATATCTAAATGAGGAATACAGTTTAAGATTTGGAAGCATACATCATTCAAATGTAGTTTACTAATGCACCAATGAATTTTTGTAAATATTTCGTGGTTATAAAATTTTCTGTGCCTCAGAATTTTATTATAATTTGAGATTAATAATACTATCTACTGGGTGGTACAGTCTCAAAAAGTCATGCTCTCTATTTGAGGCAGGCTAATGTTCTATTAGAATTCTGGTGCAGCGACTGGGACCATATTTTTGGAAGAAATATTTTTAGTTTTATAGATTAATTTTTTATCACATACAATTTCTCACCAATTGGATAGAAGAAAAATAAAACATGTTATAAAATAAATATTAGAAGTTGACTGTATGCTAATAACTGAGGAGCTAATCTTTAGAAATAGTTATTTAAGCTGCAACTTTTAATGTTTAGTTATAGATTCTAAGTACCCTATCACCAAGGAGCATTTAAGTACTATTAATAAATCTAGACTGAGAAAAGTTGCAGTTATTTTGAAGGATATCAGCAAGGAAAGAAAACTGAAGTCTGCCCACAAGAAAATAACAGCATATATGAAAAATGTCAATATATACATATAAAAAGTTAATGATCAATATGTAAAGAATTCAGAGGAATCATCACTATTGTCATCAAATGCTTTATTAATCATCTTCTCTGCAGGCATTTCAAAATCATCCTGAGTCAGGAAATAAGCCACAAAAATGTCAAAGACTATTTTCTCTTAGAGCTTTACCTGCAATAGTGCCATAAAAGTAGAATATAAATTTTAAACACTATGTCATCTAGATTTAAACTTTTAAAACAAAACAATCTTAAATACTGTATAAGTTCAGTAGCAAAGTTAAATATATGTCTCTTATATCAGTTTGTAGTGTGGCTATTTTTGTTTTTTAAATTTTGGGGGGGCTATTATTTATTAGAAAAGCAGCAGGACTAATGCTTTTACCACCAAATCCTATAATCAGAGAAACAGGAACCAACAGACTACATTTAGTTCTTTTAAAGTGCTTGCACTGCAAAATATAGGTAATAAGGGCTGAAATTAGTAATTAAGTATAGCACTTAACCTTCCATTATAGGGCTTTGTGGTAAGTACTTTTATATGAAGCAATTCATCTGGTAGTGGCACTATACCTTTAATGGAAAAACACCTACAGCATTGACCAGTAGTATTACCCTGTAATTGTCTGGAAGGCTTTCATAAAGAAACTAATTAGTAGAGGTAGATTTTATGTTCTTTTGGAGAATATGAAATATTCTTAGAATCCAGTAATTTATGCTTTAGAATAAATATTGAATATTCTGAATAGTGCATCTAATTTTCATTATATTTTGCACATAGAGCAAAGTATGGAAGCAATGCTTTGCATGCATTCAAAGTTGGAAAGCCATTTCTTGGTGCATAATCAGTTAAAGCTTTATAATATAATGCACCATGAATATCTTGATTTGCCCCTAATTATAGTTATGTAGAAAAATTTTCTGTGTCAACAAAAATAGACGTCCCCTTTTCCTAGTATTAATCCAAAAAGGCTAGCATCATTTTGCATGCCCAGACTCAAGATTACTCTAAAAAAAAAATGCTACATTTACCTTTGAGATAAAACTGAATTCACTTAACTACATAGTGTTTCCAAAAACGTCGTTTATGATCAGTTATTTTATCACCAAGTTAGCGTATCAGTACAACTAATATTGAAGGCATGTTTATTACAGAAAAGAAAGATTGTATGGTTACTGTTTACAAAGATAATTTGAAAATGCTCAAGATTAAAAATATAATATGCAGGAAATACAGGAGTTATATTGTATATCACTAAGAAGAATATACACTCAAAAAACAAGAACAATAACAGAAATACCCAGCAGATTCTAAACAGTGTTCATTTTTTAGTGAATAGTATAATAGGATCATAAAAAATAATGACCTTATTTGGGTCTTTGCAAGCATGCATTCATTAAGAAGGATTTAGCAGGAAGAGTCAGAGATGGAAAATAGGGAACTATAGATAGTTGATGGGATGTGAGAAAATAAACAGGAGAAATAAAGAATACAGTGTAAGGGGCTGGGGATTTAGCTCAGCGGCATAAGCGCCTGCCTTGAAAGCAGGCAGTCGTGAGTTCGATCCCTGGTACCGATAAAAAGGAAAAAGACAAAAAAAAAAAAAAAAAAAAAAAAAAAAAAAAAAAAAAAAAAAAAAAAAAAAAAAGAATACAGTGTAAAACCATTTGAACAACTGAAAGAAAAAAAAAAAGGAGAAACATCCCTGCTTTTTACATTGTTTTTCTCCCTCTCCTCTCTTTCTCTTTCCTTTTATTCTTAGTAATACTACCAAGTTGCAGTATATCACCAGAAGGCATTGCATATGAAAACAACTTGAACTCCATAGTAGGAAAAAATAAAGAAATCAAAGATGTGGCTCTTGCTTGCTAATAAATTAGTCTGTTTGAGAGACAAGAGGAGTTAAGGAAATCTGCCAACGTCAAATACACTTCAAACCTGATAACTGCTAGTTCAGAGTTTAATTACTATTACAGTTTAAAGAAGGAAAGAATTAGTGTGACAAAATAGATCCTTCCTGGATGAGAGATTTTGAAAGAAAAAAGTAGTCCCAGGGAAGATTCCATAGAGATAGTGTAAGTACTTTTTGGGTGACTACAATTTGACTGGGAGGTCTCATAAGTACTAATGATAAATCTTAATCATTATCATCAGTAATATATTTCAGAGTTCAGGAAACACAGATTGATCATTGCCCTTTTAATTCTATACATTTAGTTTGCATTAGTTGATTATTTTTATATCAACTCATTAATAATTAATTTATTATGCATTTAAGCATTATTTTTATTTAGAATTTTCTATTTTGGTTCTGAAGTATTGATTAATTTTATGATTCAGTGTTTTTAAATTTATAACTAGCCTAATTTTTATTATGTATGTATGATATAATCAAGGAATTTTCTTACTGGTAACTGTAACATTTGAAAGATAGAAAGAACTTCTTCATTTATCAGACAATATAATGGAACCTTGAAGAGCTTTAACAGATTCGCCCAAAGTCATTATGCCAGTTAGTGGCCAAGTCAAAGCTGCACTTGCGGTCTTTTGTTTATAGACTGTGTCCCTTCCTTTATACCACCTACGAGAGAATCCATAGCAAAGAAAGATCAGGAGATGAACCTTTCAATATGGTCTGGTGTATGTTCTATAACTAAAAGTTGTAATTTATGTGATTGGTTATACCTACATATTAGTTTATGCAAAAGTGTCCTACTTCTGTTGAACACTCAAATCCATCTTACAAGTTTTAAACAATAACGTATGAAATAAAAACAACTTCCTTGCAAAAACATAGTTGTTTTATATTCACTAAATTTGAATTAATGCTCATGAATAGATACTGATTATTTTTTTACTTCATGAAAGAAATTTAGTTAACAAATTAAGTAAATTACTATGGACTATTATTCTCAGCATTAGAATTCTTGCACATTATTTGGGAGAAAAACTGAGCAGAAACCTTGCCCCATGCTATAATTAAATATATAGATACAGGAGATATTTGACTAAGTTTCATTTTCTTGCTATAAAAGCAAGATAGTAAATATCTGTTCAGGCAACTGATAAGCATTCAGAAGTTTTAAGTTCTTTAAATATATTGTCAATTGTGGATAGAGTGTAACAAAAGCAATAATAATAAGGGCTTGATATTTGTTTTGATGTACTAAGTGACCTGGATCTTTATCAGTATTAGAATATTTTCCTATTGCTTGAGGCATATTAAGACTTCTAATTTTTTTCTTCTATAAAAAAATGATAATGTTCCTTTAATGATTTGGACTTGAACTCACTGGGACTAGCAACTATAAATAATGTAGATATTTTCCAAAATATTTTTCCTTATAGAACAACAAAAGTAAGGGACTAGCAAGCTGTCCTGTCCCAGTTTTAA